ACTAATGTACAGTATGTGGAAAATAATGTGTTTTTTGAACCTTAAACCGCATAAACACATTTCATTACACCAAATACAGTTCTTTTTAGCAGCATCATATGACCCCTTTAATATAATTTGTCTTCTCAACTAAGTCCAAGCAAGAAAATTAGTTCAACTTAGATATTTTTGCCCTTCCAACATTGTTAATTGGATTTATTACAGTGCATTGAGCGACGACTGTATCTCGTCACCACCGTAAGCAGGGAGGGGACCAGAGCATATTACAGTGTCTGACATTGTACTTGCAAGTTCACACCTCTTTAAATGTTATTTTTAGTGATATCTGACTGGCAAAGTTGTACATCATTAGCGCCAACATGAATTTTAATGAATTTACATTTAGCATTAGCCAGCACTTTTAAATTTGACCAGATGTCAGGCATTCTGGCTCCTGGTAAACATTGGACCATGGTGGCTGGTGTCTATTTTCATTTTACATACAATAGAATCGCCAATAAATAGGGCACTTTCATTAGGTTTCTCAGTGGGTGCGTCACTGAGTGGGGAGAACCTGTTTAATGTTTTGACTGAAACAGATTGTTATCTCCCGCAACTATGCCACCTCACAGTCACCCAATTTATTCTGGAGACAAGCTCAGATGCCTTGGCTCAAATGTGACATCACTTTTTCATTGGGACTTATCAACACATACTAGGATTCTTATGGACTGTGCTATGGTATGGTGCATTGGACTCTATGCTTTTAACAGCCAGAGATTTCCTGGTTTTATTTTGTGTTGTTTAATGTGAAGATGTAAATATGCTGTTTTGAACCACACTGTTCCAAACTTCTGTTTTATGACTCATTCTCGTTTTTTTAACATCTGACCCCATCTTAACTTTTGTAACACAACCGATTTGGCTGGTCGTTACAATAGTATCCAAAAAAGCACTAAGGTCCAGTAACAATAATAGATGCAACCATGATCAAATGGTAAGAACAAGTCATTTGTAACTCTGATGAGTGCAGTTTCAGGGCTATGACATGGTCTAAATCCTGACTGGAATTTCTCATAGAAACAATTTATTTTCAAGAAGGAATATATTTATAAAGATTTTTCTAGCATTTTTGATAGAAAATGTACATTTGAAATTGGTCTATTGTTTTCCCTAGAATCGAAATGTGTTTTTTAATAAGAGGCTTTATAACAGCCAGCTTGAAAGTTTTTGTCACTTATCCTAGTAGTTATGAATTTATAATATTAAGAAGCGGTAACATCTCTTGTAATAGCTTGGTAGGTATGGGGTCTAACATGCATGTTGCTTTAGATGATTTAACAAGTTTAGCAAATCAGCTCAAAGGGGATGTAGCAAAAGAAGAGTGCAGAGAGCCAAGCGGGTCACTGATGCGAGGCCTTTTAACTTCTGTGGAGGTCACACCTCCGAGGGGGTCAAAGAGCCAATGGTGACTCGAGGAAAAGTTCATGACTCTTTGTCTTCGAGCATGGTATTTTGTATATGTAACTGGATTGATTGTTGATACAAAAGCTATTAAAGATTCTTAAAACGATAATGTGTTGCATAGGCATCAACATATAATATAGACTCATTTAGATCATCAAAATACGAATTCGTAGATATCAAACATGGTATAGGTCAGGTATATTAACTAGTAATTCTATCATAACACATGCATAAAAGAGTTTTCAATACAAAAGACAATATACAAGAACAGTAATAATACACACAATGACCTGGGGATAGGTGTAGTCATTCATAGAAAGTTTTGGCTATGAATTAACAGGGAAGAGTTAATTTTTATGGGCATTATGTGTCTTTCCTATGGGTAAATGGAGTGAGAGTTGCTCTGCCCGCATTCCTTTGAGCAATAAAAACAGTGTTATCAGATGATTTGTCTTTGCTTGCCATGTTTTGCCTTTTTGGGGTGTTAGTTTCTCTTCTGGGATGTTGTCCACAGAACTCTAACACATAGTTTCCTTTTTGGGTGAGGGGATTATTCATTAAATATAATGAATAATTGTGTCTGATTGGTCCAAACGCTACAGTGAAATATTTATAATTAATTATAACTGGTTAAAATTAACTATAAATATTCAGATCAGATCTCAGAATTAACTGTAGCAGAATCAATACTACAATTATTTAATCTGTTCGTCCAACAAGCAGACAGTATAATAATTTATAAATTCTAAGAAAGATTATCTTCCTGACCAAAAAAAGAATAGCATTGTTACTTTATACAGTACTAGCAGTAACTTGGCATGTAGGCAAGATCAACATTTCAGTGACTTCGAACTGCGAAACAGAGGCAATCAATCGTGAATATAAGGGATTTAATACATGAAACTACAGCTAAAACTAAAACACAACAAATACAGAAGGAAGGAAAGTAAGGAAAGGGAGAGACAAACAATAGAACGTCAAATAACCCCAACTCAATGAGGATCATCAGAGCACGGTTACTTGCATCAGCTTTGTTGCTGTACAAGAGTACGGATGCATGGAGACAATGGAGATTTTTGAGGAGTTTGTTAGGAGTAAGCTGGAAGCTTTTGTTGGGTTCTTCTGAAGATCAGAGTCCACAGTGAATGTTACATTCACAAAGTTACTTGATAAAAATGCGGAAGATCAGACTCGAGGGATGAGTCTTAAAGAGGGTCTGTCTCAAAGGGGTTGAGCAATGATTGGTCTAGGTAAGGGTCTTTTATTTCCCCTTTATTTACACCCCTTCTAGGTGGACTGACCTATGCAGAGGTGCAAATTTTGAGGGTTTTTTTTTTTTGTTGTATTGTCTTTTGATTGACTATAACCCCCCCCCCATATCATTATTGTGAATTATTTTGGCCATGATAATTGTGTAGTTAAAAATCTGATATTGTGATAGCCCAGTGTGGTGTTATTCCAGTGAGAACTGTTTTCTACCAAAACACCAATGCTTTCAGTAATTAATTTTATTTAAAAAAAGAAGAACTATAATAATAAAATAAAAAACAGGGATGCAAATATAACTACATATACAATTGATTCTGGAGCCTTTTCTTGCCATCAAAATATAACAACTTAATAAAAACAGTAAACAATTTACTAATAATAATAATAATAATGATGATGATGATGATTATTCCAGACATCTTCGTTCTAATTCCAACACAAAACTCAAATCACATCATTAATTACTTGATCATTCAAATAAGAAAATAACAGGACAGATCAACACAAAGCACAAAAGAAACATTTTAGAATTCATTGGCTGTCATTTGAAATATTTTTGTTTTTCTTACAATATTTCTGTTGAAGTAATTATTGCTCAGACTGTTAGTCATCAAAGCGGATGTGCTTACTTGCTTCGGTGGCCCGAGCGATGATGATTTTCTCAGCTTTAGAAATGAGCTATGAAAAACAATGACAAATATTCTGTGATGTTGATAAAACTACAAATCTATTTAACTTTGACTGCCTTTAAAGGCTGTTGAGTGAGGTTTAGGTTACCTTTTCTGTTCCACGCTTTTTTTCTCTAGGACTGTTTAGCTTTGCTTGTCGGTCCACCAAAATCTTCTGCCAGTACCTCTGCTCACGGTCACCTTTTTTATTCATTAATACATTATTTAATTTGCCATATCTTAAAAAAAAAAAAAGATAGTTTTGAGTTATAATTTATATTCAGAGAAAATGATCCTTCTAACCTGAGAGGAGTTCAAGGTTCCAGTTGTATTTTTTCTGAAGTTCTGATTGGGCTGTTATAACTGTCTGTGCATCTTCAGGACTCTTGAAGCGAATGTAACCCTCTTTATCTCCATCAAGAATGTCCACATAAGCCACAGCGGACATCTCAGACAGTGAATCCTGTGCATATGAAAAGAAACAGCTCTTAAAAATGGCTTATTGTTTGATGTACCCAAGATAGCTTTAACAATCAATTTAACTAGCATGTTAGTATATACCTTGATGCACCTCTTGCTTGGCAGGGGCTGGTTATAGCTAATCTTGACAATGACTCCACTCGCAAACTCAGGGCCAGAAGGAGGCTCTTTCTTAGCTGTATCCTTACAAGCTTTGGAAAGAAAGAAAGAAAGAAAGAAAGAAAGAAAGAAAGAAAGAAAGAAAGAAAGAAAGAAAGAAAGAAAGAAAGAAAGAAAGAAAGAAAGAAAGAAAGAAAGAAAGAAAGAAAGAAAGAAAGAAAGAAAGAAAGAAAGAAAGAAAGAAAGAAAGAAAGAAAGAAAGAAAGAAAGAAAGAAAGAAAGAAAGAAAGAAAGAAAGAAAGAAAGAAAGAAAGAAAGAAAGAAAGAAAGAAAGAAAGAAAGAAAGAAAGAAAGAAAGAAAGAAAGAAAGAAAGAAAAAATGAATGAATGAATGAATCAATGAATCAATGAATCAATGAATGAACAGGTATTTAAATAGTAAGATTTATTAACAGGCAAGATGTTGTCCCAACAAAAGATACTCACAAGTGTTCTCATTCTCTTTAGTCTGCATGATGTCATACTTCACTGACTTCTGGTTGATCTGAGCCACTGACTGCTTCAGATGGGCCATACAGTGCTTCTGCAGTGTCAGGTACTCCTGCTTCAGGTTCAACCACTCTTTCCTGACAGTTGAAATCCACTTCATTACTTCAATATCTCACACAATACACAATTATTTATGAACCTTGACTTGAAAAAGAAAAGATGCACAGCACTGCTCACTTTGAGAGGACTCTGAGTGGGATGACCTCCTCCCCTATTTTCAATCTCTCCTTGAGCTTCTTCTTTCTTTTCCTCTTGGCCTTCAAAACAGAATCATCTTTCTTCTCAGAGTCCAACTGTTCTTCATTCTTGCTCTCAGTTGATAAATCTATGCGATAAATGAACATAAATTACAAGTAAATGACAGCAACAACTTTAAGGCCATTTCACATTGAAGAGTGAACAGTAGCAGGAAAATACATTTTTTGCATGAGTGCAAATTTAGACAGTTGGTGGCGCTAGAGGTTTTGGGAAACTATAGGTTGGAAACTATAGTCAATGGGCTGCCATAAACATAAGTGCAGAAACAGTAGTAGAAGCAGCACGGATACAACCTTCAGTTTTGCCCCTTAATAACAAGAAGACCAACAACAATAGGTGCCTATGCATTTTTAGTGCGTAGTCCCTAAATATAGCTGCAATTATTGGGGGCCAACAATTCTAAATGCAAAAATGCTGATTGAATGTTGTTCGGTAGATGAAGATATGACGTTGCAAGGGAATGCAGGGGTTAAAGCAAAAAAAAATCCTGAGCATGAACTTTTTTTCCGGGGGTTGCGGGGACGGACACATACACAGGGTTATATTTGGCAAACAAAAAAATAAAATGATTTTCCTTGAAATTAACTAGTAACGTATCTGCCATTGCCGTTAGCCCTTGACATGCTCAGACTACAGATTATGCTGGGATATTTGAAACCGCAATACCAAGAAAGTTTACTCACTACAATATGGTGCAAACACATGTAACATTTAGGATGCTTTTGATATCAAGTTTTGCTGGTTAGCTTTGTCCTTGACAGGGTACAAGATGACCTATAATCTAAAACATGAAATTTCTGAAATTGTTTTGTTCAAAATAAATAATGGTAAGTTAAATACTAGGAAATGAATATAAAATAGGAAATATACAAAGACAGTTTACTCCAGAAAACTACAGTTCAGTTCAGTTTACAACAACAAAAACATTAAAATGGTCCAAGAACTGGTAACTTAAACAGGGTTCGTACAGATACTGCAAAATAAAATTCCAGGACTTTCAAGGACTTGCATTACTTTTTTGGTTTTCAAGGACTAAAATCAGATCTCACTTATCAATCAATATTGTTATTATCTTTCAAATTCTAATAAATAATGTCACTTCCTGTTTGTTGCTGCCGTGTGTTTTGAGTTTGAGCTCCTTCAAGTTAATTCTTTATCGTCTATTTGTTTTATCTTAAAATCAATTGTATACACCATAATTTTCATTTATATAACGTGTGAATATATCCCCTATCGTATTCTACAACAAAAACAATCAGAGCGCCTTGTTATCGTGGAGAAGCAGATCCGTGACCTGGTGGAGAGGCAGACCCAGCTGAGAGAGCGGAGAGCCGCGTTGGAAACATCCCTGGCTGACGCTCACAAGTCCGAGGTAAGTATACAGCCCGCTGCTAACTCTCCCACCACCTCTACTCCGTGTATTTCTCTGCACAGGCCCGGTGCACCCAGGATGCGATCTTCCCAGATGTCCTTCACTTCGGCGCCAGGACACCACGGACCCTGGGTTCACCCGCACCGGAAGACGTGAGCCAGGCCCCGGGCGATGACCTCTCCCCCTCCGCCGCCTCTGGTCTTCGAGATCTCCACCCGGAACTGCTTCGCTCCCCTCCGCGAGCCGGGCAACACTGTGATCGTCGGAGACTCCTTCGTCCGGCATGTCCGTGCTACATTAGCTGAAGGTAAAGTGCACACTCACTGTTTCCCTGGTGCTCATGTTCTCGATGTTTCTGCACAGATACCCACGATCCTGAAGGGCGACGAGAACCCCGGAGCAGTCGTGCTTCACGTGGGGGTTAACGACACCAAGCTGCAGCAGACGGAGACACTGAAGAGGGACTTCAGGAGCCTGATTGAGACGTTGCGCAAGACTGTGTCTGTTCCCCGAACAGTGTGGTCAAAATATAAATTTAATGCAGGATCTAGAAAAAAAATCTGATCGTGATTAAACCAGAAAAATTTTAAATAAATGAACAAAAGCAATTTTTTAAGTTTGGGCTCCTAAGCATTAGATCACTCGCACCCAAAGCAGTTATTGTAAATGAAATGATCACAGATAATAGTTTTGATGTACTCTGCGCTTGACTGAAACCTGGCTAAAACCAAATGATTATATTGGTCTAAATGAGTCTACTCCACCAAGCTACTGTTAAAAGCATGAGCCCCGTCAGACTGGTCGTGGCGGAGGTCTTGCAACAATATATAGTG